TTTTTCGAGTGAAGGGAAGCGCTGCAAACGCGACCAAAAATATTTAACGGAACCAAAAGTTACGCACGGCATGGCGGCAAGAGAGATAGGATTGCGACTTCCAGGCCATTTCAGGCCACTCAGGGTCAGTGTGGACTCTCAGAAGCCTGCTTAGGATCCCGGAGATCGGCGTTGGTCACCCCAAATATTTACGTGTATGTGGTGCTTTAGGGCTTTCCGAGCCTAAGGTGGGCCCGGAAAGCCCTTTAGGGCACACGAGCTTTCAGAAGCCAGTGTGGGCGGCGGGCGCTAAGAGACTAGGCCCAGGCTGAGCCTGGAGCCCTCGAATAACAGTGTGAACCGTCGGGGTCTGTGTCGAATCCTTAAGGACCTTACGTTGGTAGGGACATAAGAAACATGTGTTGCGGCCCTCAGAGGGACACGTGAGTTGTGACCCCTCAGATGCCGGGTTGGGGTTAGTAAAGCCTGTCGCCTCAAAAGTTCGGCTGAACTATCATAGGCCAGTTGAGGTTTTCAGAAATTTTCGAAGGCATCCTCAAAGATTCGTGTGGCCCTTCAGAGGTCTACGTATGTATAATGTCCTCAAAGATCCCTGTATGGGCCCTCTAGAGAACATGGACACCAGTGGGACTCTCAGAGGCCGGTTTGGGCCCTCCGAAAGCTTCTTAGAGCTCAGTGGAGCTCCTTAGGAGCCTGTGTGAAAAGCAGGCTCATGAGCCCTGCGGCACTTGAACGGTACTTGTGCCTGTCGCAGACATTTGACGAGAGTTGAGAAAGGCCCCGAAGATTTCGTGTCACGCTTTGAACGTAAATTATGTGTCAGTCAGCACTCCAAAATTTATGAAAACCAGCTACAAAATGTAATAAAGAACCAACTAGGAACATGGCATGAATCATGGCATTGACATTTCCGAGTCGAGAGTCGGAGTCTTGAAGATTTTGGCGACTGCGACTCTGACTTTGGTTTGAACTGCACGCTCCAACAGAGTCTGACCTCACAGGCATTCTCAGAAAGGTACCCCCATTTTTCCCCGACTCCAAAATCTCATCGGATCTGTATCGATCTCAGGGGGTGCCCGGTCCGAGGTTGGGGGGGCAAGCTGCCCCGCTTGCCCCCCCCCCGTGGCGACGCTAATGGGCCAAGCGGTGAAGCAAATCAAGTCGAGGCTCCAAGTCAAGCATAATCACAATGGCAGGTACATATCAACCTAAATAGCTATAAGAGTCTTACTCTTACTATAGCTAGATTCGGCTACTGAATGTATCCGATTTCATAGAAATATGGGCGGTGTTTCACGGGCTGCTGCTACCAAGCTGCTATCAAATTGCGCAAGCTGACGTCACACTTGTGGTAGTGTTGGAGCAATGGGCCTGTTGATGTCTCCATGGAAACCCAATTTGACAAGTCGTAAAATCGGCGTGCTGCTATCACCGGTGAAACAGGGCCATGGCTTAAAAACGCCCAATTTTGACAATAGCCTCACAGAGAAGATTATTGCTTTTCCAGAGGGCTGTTCACGGGCCCTGTGTGCGGTCGGACCGCACACAGCCTCCAAGCTCCGCCCACTGCGTCCCTACGTCAGCCTTCCGTCACCGCACACAGCGACCGCTGTGGCCGGTCGGGACTGGCCACAGCGGACCGTCCACCGCACGCAGCCGTGACGTCAGAGCAGCCTACCCATCCCCTACCCCCACGCCTGCTGGACGCACCGCACACACCGCACGCAGCAGTGTGCGGTGCCCGTGAACACCCCTCTGCACTGGCGGATCCAGGGGGGGGGCATTAGGGGCATATGCCCCCCCCCGACAGGAGCCTGGGGAGGGCATTCAGTACAAGTATGCCCCCCCCCGTTCAGACTTACACTTCTTACGCCTATAACGAGGAACTAAATAAAAATGGTTTAGAAAGCCTTCCTAGTAACTACTTTTGTGATCAGAGTCGTTTTAGTCAGCGGCGCGAGAACTTCTTCCAGACTGGGGGGGCTGAACCATAATAGAGATCAACCTAGGGTACCCCCAAATCTAGTTTTCTCACCGGTTTTAGGCCACTTATTTTTCAGACTTTGGTCTTTTCAACAACAACAACAACAAAAAAACGAAAAATGCAAAAAGTGAGGCATTCCGTCTCAGCTGAGTGAAGAAACTACCGTTTTGGCAGCCTGGAGTAAAGGTTTTAATCTGTCAATTGAGTTGCCGAGCCAGTGAAAGAGGTGGATTTTTCACTTACATGCTTTCTTCCTATGTGACCCACAACCCCTAATTTGGGAAGGACAAGCTGCCCAACGGTTCCTGGCCTCATGAAAAGTTGTGTGGACCGCCCCCACGGCCGCAGAATTGTGGGGGCAAGCTTCCCCCACTGCCCCCTCCCCCGGTTCCCGCGCCTATGTATGAATCTATGAAATTGTGTTGGTAGATTTCCGATTTCGATTCCTCCAGCTGGAGGGGGGGGGGGCTCAAATACATTACGAGCCCCCCCAGCTTTTCGGCTGGGGGGCTCAGCCCCCGCTAGCCCCCCCCCTCCCGGTTCCCGCGCCACTGGTTTTAGTAACGTCAATTTAGTTGTCATTGCTTTATTTTGTCTAAAAATATGCTGCTTCTTAGTTCTAACCACAGGGGAGTCATGCCGCTTCAACCCTTCTGACCGTATTGTCTAACGATGGCACTCATATTGCGCAAATCATGCAGGAATCGGCCGCCGCCTATGCTTGGGAATGGGGATGGTTAGAATATGATTTACCTGTATGGCCGCAGCCAGTGCAGCGTAACCGGGGGGGGGGGGAGGGGCACAAGGGGCGCGTGCCGCCTCATTAGATGCATGGTGCCCTATGGGCCCGAGAGGCCCTGCAGTGCCAATTGGCCGCTCAGGGTCCAAGCGTGCCTTATTTCGACTGAGATAAGACCCGCAGGCCTCGTGAGGGCACCTCACAGAGTCACGGGCTCCTGAGTCACATCACACATCACATCACACATCACACATCTCCATAAGGGTCCCACTCCGGCTTCTAAGGGCCCTGTGCTGGCCTCTGAGTGACCTTGCTGACCTATTAAGCGTCAGCTCTAATTAGGGTCCTGGCCCATACCCGCATGGAACGCCTCCACAGTTCCACATCAGTGTCTCTGAGGGCCCATAACGGCGCCTGTGGGGGTCTTACACCGGCGCCTTTGAGGGCCCAACACCGCCAATCTGAGGGACTAACACCAATATTTCTTAAGGCCCTACATCGGCGGCGGCTCTGAGGGCCCCACACTGGCGCCTCTGAAGGTCTTTCACAGGCGCATCTGACGGCTACCTACCTGCACTCTGTGGGCCCCACACTGGTGAGTCTGAGGGCTCCCAGTGACGCCTGAGAGTACCACGCCGGTCTCCAGAATCCCGCAAGGCTCCTGAAACCCTCTGCTGGCCCTTGCTGGTCTCTTGAAGACCCCTTGCCCCCATGCATGTGTCTCTGAGTACTGAGGACTCCCACAACGATGCCTTTGAAAGTCTTCACCGGTGACTGTGAGGGCACCACACAGACGCGTCTGAGGGCCCTACACCGCCACCTCTGAGACACCAGTGTCTCCTGAGGCCCACATCGGCGACTCTCAGGGTCCCACACCGGCGCCTCTGGGGCCCCACACCAGTGCCTCTGGCAGCCAGCCACCGGTAACTCTGTAGGTCCTACACCGGTGACTCTGAGGGCCCCACCGGCGTCTGAGAGTACCATGCCGATCTCTAAGGATTCCACAGGGCTCCTGAAGACACTTGCCGGCCTGTGAAGGCCCATTGTTGGCATCATACGGCCTGTTACCGGCCTCTGAGGGCCCTTTGTCGGTCTCTGAGAGGTCCTACTGCGTTATTAAGCATTCGCATTTCGCACCAACAACTCCAAGGGCCCCACACACAGCCATCTGTGAATGGTGTGGGCTTAGCGCCACACCAGTGTCTGAGGCACCACAACGACGTCCATGTGAGGGCCTCACACCAGCACCTTAGAGGGCCCACACCGGCTCCTTTGTGGTTCCTGCACCAGTGCCTCTGAGGGCCCCACACCACTGCCTCTGGGGAACCCACACCGATACCTCTGATGGTCCCACGCTAGTACCTCTTAAGGTTCCACACCGGCGGCCCTGGGTCGGCTCTATACACCAGTCATTCTGAGGGGCTGAGGGCCCCAACGGCCCCACCAATTTTCGTCGATTTCTGGCGCTGCCCGTGTATTTGTCCCAAAAGCCTCCTCCTCCTCCTGGATCTGCCAGTGGGGGTCAGGTGTCCTACCATTTCTGTTTTTTTTTTTAAGAAAAAAAAAACTCGTGTCAGGGCTATGACGAAAAATAAGTGGCCTAAATCCGATGAGAAAACAGGATTTGGGGGTACCCTAGGTTTGGCTCCGTGATCTGGTATGCCCCCCCCGCGCTGAACCCCTGGATCCGCCAGTGCCCCTCTGTACCAGCAAGTCATGGAAGCTGAATAATATCAAACTAAACCTAGTCATTAACCTCAATGTTATGTTGAATTTTAGGTACATATTCAATTTAAAAGTTAAATATGTTTAACTTTTAAATTGATACCAATACCTCTCCTCCTCACCTCACGTATAGCGCGCCACAAATGCGCAACAAACACTCGCGCTTCCAAGGTTGGTGATATTCTATGGCGCTAGATAATTTCACTGTTATTTTATGGTTGACGTCATATAATTTATTTATCCAGCAGACCTCGGGGCTTGCCCCGTGGTCTCTCGTGCGACATGCCAGCACAGATTCTGTATTGATGTTTTTCCCCGAATAGAAGAACAAGGGAATTTGTCCCCCCCCCCCCACAGATATAAAGACGTCTCCCCTACATCCCTTCTTCCTTCCTGTTATGGGATGGTCTCAGACCTGAGAAGTGAGACCGAGGGTCTAAGTCTAACCTAAGGAGAGAACACAAGACTGCCTCGAGATCCCGAGCGTCAACGCATCAAGCGGCATACCGCACTCGCCTGCTATGAAAATCCTAGCATTATGACAAAAACATCTTGATCCAAAATGACATATATTCCAGTTAATGCTTCACACCCACATCATAAGCAAACCGGTCGCTTCACAGCTGTTCACGCTGATTCTATGTGCCTGAAGGCTGACGCCGAGGTGGTCAGAACCGTTAATAATTCAGCACGACCCGGTGGTCTGCCTCCATGCCCAGCTGGGTGTGCACCGTCAGCAGTCCTGTGGCCGGCTCGTACACCACGCCGTCGGCCGGCATCGGAACTCCGTCGGCGCTGACCGATGACGGCTCCGATGGCACTCCGTAGAAGGAGATCTCGGACAGCGTCGGGTCCGGCATCCACTGCGTGTCGTTGTAGGTCACCTGCGGATAAAACAGTACGGTAAGACACTGATCAGACAAGCAGCCACGTTCCGGACAACGTAAAAGTAGGTACAGGGCACTCTTACCGACTGTCGATAACTTGGGTGTTAAAAGTTGACCAATTTTATCAATGGGCTATGAACACTATAATTTCTACATTTATCTTGAAATGATTTACCAAACACTCGATGAAAATTATTTCACCTGGATGTCGAGCGTGTTGTCGCTGAAGTGGAAGAGGCAGTGGTAGAAGCTGCCGTCCTTGAACGTGTCCGTGGTCTCTCCGTCGTCCCAGAAGAGCATGCCGGTCGCCTGGGCGCCGAACACCGCCAGCGAAAACGGGTTGGCGCGGCTGGCGGCCGTCGTGGTGGCGTTGCGCTGCGTGGGCACGGCGGCGCCGCCTCGGCCGAACACGGGGATCATCTCGTCCAGCGCCACCTGGTAGAGCACGCCACCCGAGTGGTCGGCGTCGTAGGCCAGCGCGCCCGAGCGCAGGTCCCACCACTGGCCGGCCGGGAACGTGACGTTGACGGACGTCATGCTGGCCTCGTCCAGGATGGGCGCCACCATGACGGCGTCGCCCCACAGGAACTGGGTGTCGACGCCGCGCAGCGCAGGGTCCGAGGGGAACTGGAAGGCCAGCGGCCGCGTCACCGTCTCGCCCATCTCTGAGGCGCGCCAGAAGAGCGTGTACAGGTAGGGCAGCAGCCGGTAGCGGAGGCCGAGCGCGTCGCGCGCCGCCGCAGCCACCGACGGCCACATGGCCGGGTCCTGGGCGGCCGCTCCAATCGTGTTATGGTTACGACTGAAGGGATAGAACGCTCCAAGCTGCGTCCAGCGAAGACAGAGGTTCTCGTTGGTTTCGCCTCCGAAGCCACAGATATCTGCGCCGACGTGCGGGAAGCCGAACATGCTGAACTCCAGGATACCGACGACGGAGCGTTTCATGTCGCTCCATCTGGCGGTGTTGTCGCCCGTCCAGTGGGTGGCCCAGCGGCCCGCGCCGACGAACGTGCTCCGACTGACGATCAGACTGCGCCGGCCGGCCATGGTGGCGCGCACGGCGGCGCGCGTGGCGCGGCTCTCGCTCCAGCCGTACAGGCTATGCACGTCGTAGTGGTAGTACGAGGTGGCGGTGCCGTCCAGGTCGGCCGCGTGCACGCTCGCCATGCATATGGTGTGGTCGGCCACGGTGCCGCTCGGGTTGAAACCGGACCGGACGAAGCGGGTGGTGTACGGCGGGTAGTCGAGCGCCGTGTGCGAACACTGGAGAGCGCCCCGCAGAGAGTTGTGGCTCACCCGGCCGATGTTGGTGTCGAACGACGAGGGCTCGTTCATGTCGATCCAGAAACCATCCGGCTCGCCGGCCGCGGCGCGGAACCGCCGTATCTCGTCCGTCCACCACTGCACCGTTCGGTTGGCGAAGAAGTTGGGGTAGAGCGTCGGTCCATCTGGCCACACTTTGCCAGCGACATACTGTCCGCAGCCAGTACACTGGTTCTCAGGTATGAACGACGCATTGGGCCACTTGACGAAGACGTCCTGCTCGACGCCACGATCCGAGGTGGGGTAGGTGCCGAAGTCGGCGGCGATCGCCGGGTCGTAGATCAGCACGAAGCGAACGCCCTCCTCGCGGAGCTCTTGGATGAACGTCGGCAGGTCGGCGAAGTTGTTGGGGTCGATGGTGAAGTCTCGTTTGCCGTCCATGTAATCGATGTCGGAGTACTGGACGTCCTGAGGAATCTCTGCGGCCTTCATCCGCTCACGAACGTCCCTGATGTCCTGGACGCTCTTGTAGCCCCAGCGGCAGAGCTGGAAGCCGAGGCCCCAGTAGGGCGGCATCACGGGGAGCCCAATAGTGCGGTGGTACTGCTGCAGCACTTCCAGCGGCGAGTCACCAAAGAACAAGTACAGATCCAGGATGCCACCCGTGGTGCGGTACGTCAGGGCGGGAACGCCGTCCAGCAGGAACAGACGGTACTCCATCGCGTTGCTGTTGAGGATCAGTACGCCGAAACTGCTTCCGGAGTCGTCCTCAATTCCCAGGAAGAAGGGGTGAACCCCGTACAGATTCTCGACATCAAATCCAGGTCCATGGTCGTGGGCGAAGATGGGCCATGTGACGCCCGCCTCGAGGTCGTGTCGGAAGCTGTCGTGGTTGTTCTCGCCGAAGCCGTACAGGTCGCTGGCGCCCAGCAGGAAGGTGGCCTCGATGAACTGATCTCCGTAGATGAGCTCGGGCCGCGAGGTGATCACCGGCCGCTGGCGGTGCGTCACCTGGACGCCGAACGTCTGGCCGGCCTCGGTGGCCGTCAGCGTGATGGCGTAATGCGGATCGGACGGCGGCAGAGTGGGCAGCGGCGGCACGTCCAGCTCGACGGGCACCTCGTACCGGGCCGCGGCCGTGTCCCGGTACTGCCGACAGCGGGAACGGGCGGTGGTCAGCGGCCAGAGACGGACACCGACGCCTCAAGGGCTCGGGTCTTCGAGGGTAAGCAGTTTTTAGGGTTGACATGTTACCTGGGGTATCGTTTACAGAGCATAAGTGATCAGTAGTCCTTTACAAACAAAGCAATAGCAATGCCCACTTTTTATCTCGCCAGATAGCAAAAAGACCGCGTAAGTTTCGTGGGATAAGTTCAAGTACATTACCAGCATATGATCGGGATTAAGAGTTGAATGAACTGAAATTTACTGCCGTTTTCTGCTCGAGCCAGCCCTGTCTCTGCCCGCTCGTCCCTCTTACCGTCAGGGCCATCCTGTTGTCGTCGTACTCGACGGCAGTGACCGTCAGTCGCTCGACGTCGTCTCCGAACATGGTGATCTCGCTGTCCCGGCGGCCCAGCAGCAGCTCGTAGCCCGTATGGATGACGTGCGGTGGCTCCAGCAGCTGGTAGCCGACGCGGTCGGCCAGCCGGCAGCCGCCCTGCTCCCACACACAGGCCGAGTAGAGGCCGCAAGTGGCCTCGTCGGCCGAGTCGGGACCGTCCGGCAGCGGGCACTCGAGCGGCGCCGAGACGGCGGCGCCCAGCAGCGCCAGCAGCGTCCACAGACGGGCCATGACCGGTCACCGGGCAGAGGACGGACGGAGGGGCGCGGACCGGGACCGGGACGACCGTCCGCCGCCGCGCTGGGACGCTCACTGGTGGCCGACGGGACGGCCGGATGGACTACAACCGGGCGATAGGACCGTATCTGACGGCCGGGCCCGACTCACAGCGAGCAGCCGGTTTTTCAGCGGACTCTGTACCGCAAACATAAACTGCTTTTTACAGGTGGAGTGTGGAAGGTACAAAATAACCCGTTCCCTCAAGAAATAAGTCCCGTGACCGTGACCGTGACCGTTCCGAGCAAGTATCCCGTATCCCCGCAAGCGTCCTTTTATTCCATGGGCTGAGATAACGAATTATGTGTTCCCGTTCTGGCCAGCAGCCATGCACTGTCAGTTAAATCGTTTAACAGACGGGTAGAACTACTTGCAATTGCTAGGGTGTCATGGTAACTTGCCAGAATCAAGAATAGTCGATAAAAGTGTCAGGAAAAAAACAAAGAACGAGAAAACTCATCGACTAAACCACGAGAGTTCAATTTGATCAAGTCACATTTGACTGTTACGTAAAGTAAAGCGTGCCTCCTGAAACACCGTGGGATACCTACCTCATGCAATAGCATTTCACGGGCTTCTATTTTATCAGTTCATAGAAAATATACACGGAAACACGGTGGATATGGCTTCCGTATCTGATACTTGCTTGCCGAAGCTCTCAGAACTCAGTATCACCGTGTGACTATGGGCGTGCCTGACAGACGGGCGCGTCTCCTGTTATCTCTGTTCCATCTGGCCGGGTCCCACAGACCTCCAGGCACATGGGATGCGCCAACCGAGCGACGGTGCTCTCTCTCTCTCCCCCCCCCCCTCTCTCTCTCTCTCTCTCTCTCTCTCTCTCTCTTCCGGATATGGAAGACGAGGATTGATCAGTTCAAGCACCAGCGACAAGAGGCTATACCATACTATTTCTGTAACGAAGTTCACTCCCAGCCCCCTACCCTACTAACAATTTCCTTATATGGTCACTGTTCCTCGCCTTGACGCCTGTCCTGACCCGCTTCTGATTGGTGCTATGATATGACGTACATGTGTGCCGTACTTATGTTACGCGTGCCGAGCCGCAGCGTGGGCGCAGCCCTCGGCCGGGTGAGGGAGTTCTGGACTTCTGGGCTATCGGGCAAACACATTGGACTCGCGGGAGCCGCTCTCCCGTCGGCTACTTTTGACTTCACTTTCTGTTCTCGGACATTTTTGGCCACGTTGAAACTGCTGCCGTTTGACCAAGAGTAACAAATATACCTAGTAAGCAGTGAAACGGTGTATTTTGACTATCACGAACAATATAACAATTTCCTTTTGAGTGATCTCGATGAAACGTTGCAGCAATTCTTGCCAGCATGATCTCAGGCTTCCTGTCTTGCCATAGCTTTCTATCGGGTTTGCAAGCACGAACTGCAGATATAAAGCAGCAGGTGGAATATGCAGTGCCAGCTCACCATGCATCAGTGTAGTCGTTCCATGCGAAATTTAGATCAAAATCGAAGTCAAGTCGTTTGAGAAGCAGCCAGTAAGCACAAACACCTTGTGTTTTGATTTATCGGAGCCACCGATCGTCCCGTCACACAATCGGGCGCGCCGGGCCCGCCAGTGAGCGTCCCAGCGCGGCGGCGGACGGTCGTCCCGGTCCCGGTCCGCGCCCCTCCGTCCGTCCTCTGCCCGGTGACCGGTCATGGCCCGTCTGTGGACGCTGCTGGCGCTGCTGGGCGCCGCCGTCTCGGCGCCGCTCGAGTGCCCGCTGCCGGACGGTCCCGACTCGGCTGACGAGGCCACCTGCGGCCTCTACTCGGCCTGTGTGTGGGAGCAGGGCGGCTGCCAGCTGGCCGACCGGGTCGGCTACCAGCTGCTGGAGCCACCGCTCGTCATCCACACGCTCTACGAGCTGCTGCTGGGCCGCCGGGACAGCGAGATCACCATGTTCGGAGACGACGTCGAGCGGCTGACGGTCACTGCCGTCGAGTACGACGACAACAGGATGGCCCTGACGGTAAGAGGGACGAGCGGGCAGAGACAGGGCTGGCTCGAGCAGAAAACGTAGGGGAATCCTAGGGCAATCATTCCCAGACCCCGATCATATAACGGCTATACACTGGGACTTTGCTTGTGAAGGACTCTTCTGTTGAACGCTGTCGATCAGTTAACGATGCCTAGATGAAATGGAGATAAAGCTTCAACCCTGACGGCCTGTTTTCAAGCAGCCCATCCCCGACGCCACTCTCACTCGGTGTCCGTCTCACCCCTTTGACCACCACCCGTTCCGCTGTCGCCAGTACCGGGACACGGACGCGGCCCGGTACGAGGTGCCCGTCGAGCTGGACGTGCCGCCGCTGCCCACTCCGCCGCCGTCCGATCCGCAGTACGCCATCACACTGACGGCCACCGAGGCCGGCCAGACGTTCGGCGTCCAGGTGACGCACCGCCAGCGGCCCGTGATCACCTCGCGGCCCGAGCTCATCTACGGAGTCCGGAGATCAGTTCATCGAGGCCACCTTCCTGCTGGGCGCCGCCGACCTGTACGGCTTCGGCGAGAACAACCATGACAGCTTCCGACACGACCTCGAGGCGGGCGTCACATGGCCCATCTTCGCCAACGGTCATATGCCTGGCGATGAGATCGAAAACTCGTACGGAGTACACCCATTCTTCCTTGGAATCGAAGACGACCCCGGGAGCAGTTTCGGCGTGCTGATCCTCAACAGCAACGCAATGGAGTACCGTCTGTTCCTGCTGGACGGCGTTCCCGCCCTGACGTACCGCACCACGGGCGGCATCCTGGATCTATACCTGTTCTTTGGTGACTCGCCGCTGGAAGTGCTGCAGCAGTACCACCGCACCATTGGGCTCCCCGTGATGCCGCCCTACTGGGGCCTCGGCTTCCAGCTCTGCCGCTGGGGCTACAAGAGCGTCCAGGACATCAGGGACGTTCGCCAGCGGATGAAAGCAGCCCAGATCCCCCAGGACGTTCAGTGGGCAGACATTGACTACATGAATGGTAGTAGAGACTTTACAATTGACCCAGTCAACTTCAAAGATCTCCCAGATTTTATCAGTGAACTTCACGAAGAGGGCATCCGTTTCGTGCCCATCTACGATCCTACGATTGCCGCCGACTTCGGAATTTATGGACCCGCTGACCGTGGCGTCGAGCAAGACGTCTTCGTAGGGTGGCTGAACTCTTCACTGGTTCCCGAGAACCAGTGCGAGGGCTGCAAGGACTACATAGTCGCCAAGGAGCGGACCAGCGCGCCGGGCTTGTTCCCCAACTTCTTCGCGAACCGGACGCTGCAGTGGTGGATAGACGAAATCCGCCGGTTTATCGCCGTTGCCGGAGGACCAGACGGGTTCTGGATTGACGTGAACGAGCCCGCTGCGATCAACACGAACGCCAAGGGCGGTCTCCAGTGTCCGCATACGCCGCTCGACTACCCGCCGTACCCCACCCGGTTCGTCAGGTTCGCCTTTAACCCGAGCGGCACCGTGGCCGACCATACCATATGCATGGCGAGCGTGCACGAGGCCGACCTGGACGGCGCCACCACCTCGTACTACCACTACGACGTGCATAGCCTGTACGGCTGGAGCGAGAGCCGCGCCACGCGCGCCGCCGTGCGCGCCACCATGGCCGGCCGGCGCAGTCTGATCCTCAGTCGGAGCACGTTCGTCGGCGCGGGCCGCTGGGCCACCCACTGGACGGGCGACAACACCGCCAGATGGAGCGACATGAAACGGTCCGTCGTTGGTATCCTGGAGTTCAGCATGTTCGGCTTCCCGCACGTCGGCGCAGATATCTGTGGCTTTGGAGGTGACACCAGCGAACACCTCTGTCTGCGCTGGATGCAGCTAGGAGCGTTCTACCCATTCAGCCGCAACCACAACGCAATCGAGAACATTGACCAGGATCCGGCCGTGTGGCCGTCGGTGGCTGCGGCGGCGCGCGACGCGCTCGGCCTCCGCTACCGGCTGCTGCCCTACCTATACACGCTCTTCTGGCGCGCCTCAGAGATGGGCGAGACGGTGACGCGGCCGCTGGCCTTCCAGTTCCCCTCGGACCCGACGCTGCGCGGCGTCGACACCCAGTTCCTGTGGGGCGACGCCGTCATGGTGGCGCCCATCCTAGACGAGGCCAGCATGACGTTCGTCCACGTCACGTTCCCGGCCGGCCAGTGGTGGGACCTGCGCTCGGGCGCGCTGGCCTACGACGCCGACCACTCGGGCGGCGTGCTCTACCAGGTGGCGTTGGACGAGATGATCCCCGTGTTCGGCCGAGGCGGCGCCGCCGTGCCCACGCAGCGCAACGCCACCACGACGGCCGCCAGCCGCGCCAACCCGTTCTCGCTGGCGGTGTTCGGCTCCCAGGCGACCGGCATGCTCTTCTGGGACGACGGAGAGACCACGGACACGTTCAAGGACGGCAGCTTCTACCACTGCCTCTTCCACTTCAGCGACAACACGCTCGACATCCAGGTAAGAATCGATGGTGCTTGAGGACTTCTATGGCCATTTTACGAAATCGTAAATATAAAACTGGATCATTAAAGTTTCTGAAAGCGGAAAGCTTTTCTGTGGGCAGGCTTGTGATGCAAAATTAGCTAGAAATAACACAAACCTTTTTAACTGGCTGACTGCCATACCGTAACCGCCTTATTCCACAGGTGACGCACAACGACACGCAGTGGATGCCGGACCCGACGCTGTCCGAGATCTCCTTCTACGGAGTGCCATCGGAGCCGTCATCGGTCAGCGCCGACGGAGTTCCGCTGCCGGCCGACAGCGTGGTGTACGAGCCGGCCACGGGACTGCTGACGGTGCACACCCAGCTGGGCATGGAGGCAGACCACCGGGTCGTGCTGAATTATTGACGAGACATAATCTCGTATGTTATGGACTTTGTAGAGGAGATTATGTATGTAGGTAATCTTGTATGTAGTAAGATTATGTATGTAGGTGATGCCTACGCCTAATCAGGGGATGTAAAAAAGAAAATGGTCACTCCAAAGCCTTATAAACTTAAATTACGTTTTAATTAAGGCATAAATGATTGCATAAAGCTGTTAGATATTGCTGTCATGCCTAACCAGGTATCAATTTGTCATGCAGAATTTAGTTTCCTGAACATCGCGTGTTAGAATGAGCATCGCGCAAACAACACATTGTTATTTTTAGCGCTGTATTTTGTCGCAACACATGTCAGCATGAATGGACAAGATGATAGACGAGTGTCAGCAAATGCATCGGACAAGGCGATTTACATGCCGTTTTAAAATCGGGGGCATAAGTATAACCATGTAGCATACCACCATCGCACAAGTTCCGACGCACGACGCAATCACGACACGGTGGACCCCGCGGCGATGAGTTTTTGACGCATCGCGTATATTTTCTTCACCCACATGTCCGTTTTCTTCTGCACACCCTCGGACAGTTTCGGGTGAACGATGTCCTCGTCCTTCATCTCCGTTTTAGTGTCAGTGCTCTCGGCCAGGCTGGCCAGCTTTTCCTGTTCGTCCGTGGTCAGACCCTGCTCGGCGACAGGCCGAGATTTACCAGAGATGAACGAGCGCTGCACAAAATCGTCCTCCTCGACAGCTGCGATGGCGGCGGCGCGGCCCGCCGGGTCGTCCGACAGCAGCGACACCGCCGGCGCGGGCGCCGGAGCCGGGCTAGGCCGCGCCGGAGACGCCGCCTTCGACGCCGTGCGCGAGCGACGCGCCGAGCGGCCTGACGATGACGAGGAAGAGCGGCGGCGGCGACGGCGGCGCTCTCCGCTCGAGGAGCGCGAGCGGCGTCTGTCGCGGCGCCGCTCGCCGCTGGAGGACCGCGACCGTCTCCGGTCCCGCCGCCGGTCGCGCTCACCGCTGGAGGAGCGCGAGCGGCGCCGGTCGCGGCGGCGGCGGCGCTCCCGGCTGCCCGAGCGCCGCCGCCGATGACGCGTCCTCGAGTCGCTGCGGGAGCGGTGGGCGCGCCTCTTGTGTCGCCGATCGGGCGAGCGGCGTTCCCGACGGCGGCGCACGCGGTCGTCGTCTGAATCACTCGAGCTGCGGCCCATGGCCATAGGGTGCTGCAATGCAAAGCAGCATTATCTTTAAAAGGAAGGTAGGTAATAACAATTTTATTTTTGGCACCCTAATTATTTTCCTAAGCTTTGTTTATGGTTATAAAATAAAAAGCAAATGTTACAAAACATTATAAACTTCCTGAAAGAGAGCATTGCCAAATCAGAGCTTACTTATTTTATAATTGAGTTCAGTGGGTATAAGGGTGAGAAACATGTTAAATTTGGATCAGCCAGATAAAAGGCACATTTGAATAGCAATTGGAATGACTACTGACTAGACAGACTAGTGATGGCCAAATGGGAATGGAAAATGTATAAATATGAAATCTGAAATGCAAAGATATATGCAGACACAATCGATGCCATTCCACTACACCAACAGTTCCCAATTATGGCAAGATTCCATAATCCAATTGTCATGAATTTCACCAATGTACCTAACAAATCAAAGGTACGCTTGTCAGTTGTCAAGATGAAAGTTGAAACTGGTCCAATTATTCAGCCGTTACATGGGTACAATAACTGGATATACACTCAAAAAGGACATCAAAGTGTACTAGCCAAAAGCATTGACATTAGTAACAACCCTAACGGAACAGAGCAAGAGCAATACAGTGCATCATCAGGTCTAAAACATGTTAGCGCTGGCCAATAATGGTGAAGCCAGCTCCAATATCTTAGCTTACCTGTCAGGATATTGTGACAGTATTTATGAGATGCAGGAAAGACATAAAAAGATTCAAATGTCTTAACCCGGCGGCCGCTGGGCCTCCGCGCCACCCGCCGGCCGCTGGGGGGGGGGGCATAAAGTTGCCCCCCCTTTACTTCTGCGACGATATCGTCGCAACGCGAAGAGATAGAGAAGCGAAACTTTGCACACATCTTCCTGAATACCTAGCCAAGGTTGTGTCCAAATTTGGTGTCGATCCCATTTGCAATGACGTCACAGTGACGTCATAAGTGAAATTATAGATTTACGACTCTCATATTCCTCACGATGCATCACATATATGGGACCGAATATAAAGGGCCGATTATTGGTCAGAAACTAGATGGAAGTGTAGTAAGATGTTTTAGGATGCCAGCAGGTGCTGTCTAGTTCATTTACAGTCGAGTTTCATGCTCAGCGTCATCAGAAACGGTCCATATCGGAAAACGAAAAAACTTTATGACGTCACTGTGACGTCATCTTAGGTGCTACAACCACCAAACTTTCCTCAAACATTGCCTAGGTATTCATTTGAAGCTATGCCAAGTTTCACGCTCGTAGCTCATCAGGTTTCGGAGATATTTCACAAAACGTAAAGGGGGGGCAACTTTATGCCCCCCCCCCCAGCGGCTCGTGGGTTAATCATCCATAAGCCTAATGAATTCAAATCAAAATGGGGCAAGGAAATGCAATGCAAAATAAGGGAACAAACTGAAATGTCTTGCCGTGTTTAGCACTTTAAGACTATTGTTCCTCACATTGCTTCCTCAAGTTTCGTGTTAACTCCGGATAACACCGATCATACATCATTTATCAATTATTTATCAATTCAAATAGTCCAACAATCAACACGCGCCATGCAAGTGTTTGAGACGGATACGGCGCATGAGCGACATTAATTAGTAAGCATCCATATGCTGAAGGTTTCCCTTCAAAATAACAAAAGTTTTTTGTCTACTGCGTCTCTGAATACGGCGAGTTCGCCCGAGTCTGAGCTGGGAGGGACCCCTCAAATAGAGCACCGGTCTCGAAATTACAACAGACATTCCATGGAAAGCATGAGATAGTCTTGGACTCGCGAGAGCTGGGGTCCGCTAGACTATCATCGTAAACTGAGGTACCACATGTTTGGTTCGATTTAGCGTCTACCAAACAGCTCGCATGTTCGGACGCACAACCATATTTATTGACATTAACGAATACATAGTACAGTTTTCAGACAGAAATGTACCCCTAAAATCTCAGTAATAGCGTTTCTATATATATGATAAAAATAACTTTGTAACAAAAACATCATTGCAGGATTGGTATTGCGGCAGGTGATCACTGATCAGCGATCCAATCGCCTATATATCAGACAACAATCTGTCAACATAAACTTCGTTTCGTTGCTCGGAAAAATCTCTCGATTCGTCAAGCGCTAAAACAACATCTACCATCGCCCATCCTATTCAACAACTATCGTGTCAGCATCGTCCTACCAACACTCCTCCCCGGGCCTGACACCGTTCCGTCGTCGGTTTCCCGGTAATTCGGGACGTGTCCACAGCTGCACTTGTCCCGTCCCGTCGCGCTCTGTTGATAAGGTTCCTCCCCACACTTCTCAGCTGATGGGACCCTCAGCGGCTCTCAGTTGGTGAGACCCCTGTCCCCTGACAGCTCTCAGCTGATGAGACTCCTGACGGTTCTCAGCTGACGAGGCCCCTGACGGCGCGGCGCGCGGCGCTGGCGTACATTCTCCGATAGACATCCTCGAGCTCGTCATAGAACCGGTGTCTTTGAGTGCGCTGCTGCGGCGAGGCGCGCACAATGTCCTGCCACTCCTGCGCCAGGTGGCCGCTAGGGGGGAGGGGGGGGGGAGAACGTTAGACGACAGGATGATCAGGATTCCGGCCACTAGCTCTTTGAAATACAATATGCAAGACTCGAAACTTCCGAAGAGCGTTTGTATGCCAACCTCGTCAAGTTTTAGTCGCAATGCCGAGAGCTTGAACTACAAAAGTATAGTAATGTTGTCAGTCAGTCAGTGGCATGCGCTACCGAGAATCAGTAGCGGATTCGTGCTAACGGTACCTACCCTAGTCAAAACGTGCATTCATTATCGATCCGATAAATTGCCTCTCAGTCCTATCCGCTTACCATCAGCTCACCCAAGCACACCCATCACCCATTATCGGAGACCCATCGGTCCATCAGTCCAGTGCCAGCTATCGCCGCCCGTTCAGCCGGGTATTCAGCCGACCCACCTGTCCTGAGACATGACCTCGGAGTCTGTGCCGTCGCTGCCGCCCGGCCGCGGCTTTCCGCACACATGGCGCACGCCGTCAGTAGTCACCTGGTAAAATGGACGGCACCGGTCACGGGCTGCACGGGTCAGGGGGTGTAGCGGTCGAGTGTAAGTGTGTGAGGGATGGCACGGCCAGCTGGTGTAACAGTGATGTCACGGGCCGAGTATATCAAATGACACGGCTCAGGTATGAGGCTCATATTTTGTGACGGACCGCGCGGGTAAGCGTAATGGACAAAGGACTTCAATTCGTCGGCAAGGACAACAATGCTGACACTTGCAACGTACAGAAACAATGTGATTCGTGTCATCGCCGTAACCAACCAATCTTGAGTTCGCCCATGGTAGCCCTACTGTCGTTGTAGGGAGGAGGGTAGCCCTACTGGCGTTAAAGGGAGAGGATTTGTCCCGGGTACCCTTCTGTCGATATAAGGAGTTAATCTCACCGGACAGCGGCAGTCGCAGCAGTCGTGGTGGTAGTGTCCCGGGTAGCCTTCTGTCGATATGAGGAGTTAATCTCACCGGACAGCGGCAGTCGCAGCAGTCGTGGTGGTAGTGGCCCGGGTAGCCGCGTCCGAAGTACCGCTGGTACGCCTCGCACACCGAACAGTGGTGGATGATGTGGTGGGTCTGGCAGTGCGCGCACCAGCCTGTGCAGAGAAACGCAGGTTCAAGCTCAGCCATCAACCCAACATGGACGAGCATCTGATAGGGAATACGGACAGTGCCGAGTAAATGAGCATCCGAATATTTGTTGAATGATGTAGTAGTAAACTGGTAAACTGTTCCGAAAACCGCAAACCGTAACTCACTATATTCTAAACATTTGAGACGGAATCATGTCCATCGTAAAATTAAAACGAGACTAATTTTCTAGCGTTTATGTTTGACCTCGTGACATTCCCAGCCTTAAGACGGCACCGCTGTGTTTATATACGTCTCGTGACGTACCGGCGCGTGGCGGCGCTCCCTCGTCCACCTGGACGGGCAGCGGCTCCACGGAGCGGGAGCGGACCGCCCGGCCGCCAGAGGAGCTCGGCGGGGCCCGCTCGGCACTGCTGGTGCTCCGCGCCGGCCGGGCCGCCGCCGCCGGCTGACCGGAGCACGAGCAGTGACAGTGGCGGCCGCGGCCGGCGCCCGCCGGCGGGTCGCTGCGGCTGCGGCGGCGGCGGCGCGTCGGCGGCGGCGGGTCGCCGATCTCACGGCCGATCAGAGCCGTCTCCGGGCGCCGCCAGCGGAACGGCGGCCGGTCGCCGGCCGGACGGCCGCGCAACACCTGCGGGTGGACAGACCGGGCGCAGAGGCGGATAGCGAGAAACATTGCCATGGCTGACGACTGTTTGGTTCGAACCAGAACACAATACTTTTTGCTGACGTCGTCGGAGCTTTCGCATTTCTGTCAGCCACAATGACCACAAACGCAGACTTCGAACAGGTAGTTGCTTCTTGCTAGTATCATTTGTCCAAAATTCCGTGCTTACATACATACACCACCCAAAACAAGTGCCCCACCCACTTTCTCCCCAAACGACGACCTACCTTGGGCACAGCTACGGCGGCAGCTTGGCCGGCGGTGGCGGCGCGAGCAGCGGCGGTCCCGGTGCGGCCACCCAGTCTCGGCGGCAGGCTGGTACGGACCTCCCTGACGGTGGTCTTTGTGGCCACCTCTAAACGTGGGGCCACCGAGCCCTGGAGGCAGGGAAACATGCGTCAGAGCCAGAGGTAGGGGAAGATACCATTTGGGGCGGTGAAGAAAGGGAACTGCTTATAACGCCGAGCGGTACGTCTGGTTAGCTTACGACCTCTCTTCTATGGACAAAGGAGGATGACGAACCCTAGAATGTTTGGAACACGATTACTTTAAACGTGAAAGTGAAGTGAATGCGAGGTGACAAGTATTATCTCGACATCTCTGTTCCGCGCAGTCCAGTAGCCCATGCAGTATTCCGAACGCACCACGAAGTGCGCCGTCGGCTCCATGATGAGGTCAAGGTCGGCGTGGGCCCGTGCCGGCCGGTCGGCTGCCGCCGCCCGCGGAAACAGCAGCTCACGGGCGGACGTCTCGAACGAGGCCAGCACGGTGTCCGGTCCCGCCGGTGGCCGCTGGATCAGCTCCAGGTACACCACCTCGGCGTCCAGCATATCGTCCAGGTCGGCCAGCCGGAACACGTGACCAAACACCTGCAGAGAGCACGGGGACACGTGACGAAGCGTTTGGACAGGGGACAGAGACACGTGAGGCCGCGTTCGTCTGCGTTCGCCTACGACAGGGCGACAAAATTATTTGCTGTCCGGACTCGGACACTGAAATGCCGATCGAAGTGGTAACGTTTTAGACGCTCGAGCTACACTGGTCATCAACGCCACGGTCAAGATTATTTTTTCGTACCTTTTCGACGACGAACGTTTCGTTGAAGTTGATGGGGAAGATGGGCGCCTTGTCCTTGGTGCGGATGTACTGTCCCAGCAGGCAGATGCTGAGGTAGATGGCTCCATTACAGGGTACCCAGGCGTCCGGACTCCGCACCTGCCGAGCACGGGGCAGTCAATTGTCTCGCGTGCAGTCATTAGCCGTCAAACACAATTTTATCCACCATGAGGTGTGCAATATCATGTTCGGCAATAGGCATGCAAAACCAATAAAACGTACATCCAGCGCTGCAGTAGATATGGATACTTACGCTTTGAATGTCCAGAAGAATTTCCACCTTCTGCGATCTTCGTTTCATGCCGGCTTTGCACATGGTTGATGTGGAGTCAGAGTCGCTCGGTTCGTATTATTGTCCGTTGTCACCTACCGCACCGCATTTTTTCGACGATCATTCGCTACACCTCGGGAAAAATGCAAGACACAACCGCCCCCATACACGCATTCGCTCGCTACGAAAAACAGAACTGGCTCGTCGTTGGTTTGCTTTGTCGTGTGGGATGGGATTTCGCGCTTCCCCAACTCGTCGTAGCGGCTTTATCGATGCTGGTTGCTAGGCAACGGATGGCCGCGATGGGTTCCACCCCCACGAAGACCCTTCAGTTGTTTCCGATGCCTAATTGATAGTCAATGTCTGATGCAGTCGGTTCCGAAACAACTATCACTCGCTAAAACTTCATTTGGATGGCATCCATTTGACCACATAAAATGTAAGTAAGTGTGCTATAACTTACCGCAATATACCCCAGTGTAACTAAGAGCGAGCGAAAGTTATGACAAACCTGAGCCATTTTGCGCACACATGATGGTGACGAAATAACTCGTATACAGCTATTGGCTAGGGGTGTTATAAAATGAAATAAACGAAATAATATCGACCATTCCGGATTAATTGCCTTCTAGTGGATATGCAACAATGACTTGGTGAAGTTGAAACTTCAAAAGCAGATATTTCTCAAACATTATATTTCCAACTTTTAAATTCTAACAGGCAGCCCGAGCATGCATTCTTCCCTGAACAGCGCATATCGATTACCTCTGGGAGGTTAACGCGAAATCCAAACAACCGCACAGCCGAAAACCAGCCAAGCAACGCCAACAATTTGAGGCAACTACAACCGAGTTGAACGCCCACAATAAACTGTCTTTAACAGCCCTTATTGAGTTAGTTGACCTAACGAGTTTAAACTAGGATGTCTTACTGGCGATTGTGTCAGTCAGACTACTGAGTACTACAGATTGCACCAGAGGTAGGGGCCGGCAGTGCTGCCCGGCAGGGGGGGGGGGGGGGGGAGAGGGAGCACTCAGAGCAGTGTGCTGACCCGGGGAGGGGAGGGGAGGGGGCACTAAGCCGACCCAGTGAGGGGAGGTGGATTTGGCAGATCACGTGATGACGGTCGGCTCGCTGCGGCCCGTGTACTCCTTCAGTTTGCTGACGGTAATCGCGATATCCACCAGCGGAGCCAGCGCCGCCTAACGGAAAAAGAGCAACTGTTACATACGGCGCATACGGCGGCGGATGAAGACATGAAGAGAAACGTTCATTACGGGAATAGTTACATCGTCGAGCCAAATATTGTTTTTTAGTGTAGTAGTTCAAACATCGCATACCTATCCCACAATGCTTTTTCGACTCTTCATGTCGAAAATAGAATTAACTGTAGCAGCTAAGCTGCTAGGCTGCAACATCAGTTTTAACGCCGAACCCGTTGTCCGTTTTACCCAGACCGGGGAGTGGGACCAGCGTCTGTGTTTCTGACTCACCTGCGCGTCCATCCTGGTGTTGTCCTTCTCGTAACTCTCCACGTACATTCGCACGGTGGCGCCGCTGCTACCGGTGCCACTCAGCCGGAACACGACCCGGGAGCCGTCAGAAAATATCAGACGGATGCCCTGAGGAACGTGGGTCGTGTAAGGAGCGGTTCAGAGGAGTCTGAATGGTGAAATGTCATGACATGACCTGCTATTACAACACAGTGGACGATGAGTTGGGAGTTAAGGACGGTCAGGCTGCGGTGGTCATCGGCGTCCAATGTCCATCAGTCGAGGTCCCTCGCTTGATATGTTTGCCAACAAGTAAACCTAATTTATCCTGTTGCTGAGCAATAATTGAAAGTTGCTGTATAAGCGAAACGTTCACGGATTATCATACCCAACAAGAGGCCTTCACCAAAAATAAATATCCTTCGACCACCAAAGCACACACTCATTTCATCCCATTAGCTATTATCCTGATGACGTCTGTCCATCTTTCGTTGTCTCCATTCCCTCCGTCCCACGCGCGCCGCTGCTCACCTGGTTTTTGGTGACGCTGTTGTCGACGGGGTCGGTGTAGCAGAAGTTGTCCGCCTTGCTGACCGTATAGCTCTTCCCGCCGCTGGAGTACGTCTTCCCGACGGTGGACGGGTCGGCCACCAGCTGGTTCAGCTCCGACATCATCTTCTCGCAGGGCGCCGACTCGCAGTTCTCGTAGTCGTACCTGGTCGGAGCCGGCCGGGAGACGGGGTGGGTGAGTACAGAGTACGCGAGTGAGAGCGAGTGGAATAAAGGTAAGCTATTGGGGAACGAATACGTTAAAAAATAAACGTTTTTTCCAAATGGAGGATGGCGAACCATCTTAGTGTTCTTTTCACACCAGCAGCAGGACAATAAGTACACTTTTTTAAGAATACTTAACAAGCCACAAAACAGAGGATATGGGGACAAGACACAACGAATCAATAAACGACGTCAATCTCTATTGCCGCAGTAGCCTCCACCGAATCCATTCAGCCGCGTCTCACCGTGTGAAGAAGTTCCTGCCGTACTGGTCCCAGTGCGCCTCCAGGATCTGCTGGACGCTCTGCTGGCGCTGCGCGATCACCGACAGCCAGGCCAGCGCCGCCCAGATACCGTCCTTCTCGCGGACATGGTCCGACCCGGTGCCGAAGCTCTCCTCGCCGCAGAGCGACAGCCGACCGGCGTCCATCAGGTTACCGAAAAACTTCCAGCCGGTGGGCACCTCGAAACACTCGAGCTTCTTGGCGGCCGCCACCCTGGAGATGAACGGAGGAGAGTCAGACAGGGGACAGATGGCACGGAGGGGTATCGGAGCGTATGACGGCAGCAGCTGTTCATGCGTGCCGTGGTACGGTTACCACATCTGACTGGACACCGGTGTATGATACAATATGACCAGAAACACAGTAAAATATCCAGCAACAAGTCATGTATTCTGCAAATGAATTCCATTTAATCCAACATTTCCGTTCATCTTCTGCAATAATCGCGCCTCGAATCGCAGTCACACTTCCCGTAGTTTTTGGCTTCCAACTACCAACGTCCAACGCCTTCAAGACACTCTAATTGTCAAGGGACGGTACCGGGTCCTCGACGAGTGTCGCACCGGTGTGGCATTCCGTATTCTGTAAGCCTCTTAAGCCCATTGATAACTCCCATACCCCTATTGTCGAGCTATCGGCCACAGCATTGCCTATATAGATCTCACCTGTCCAGAGCACACCCTGTCGGCATGCTGCGCGCCAGGCCGCGCACTCTAACCTTCCCCATTCCCACAGCAGCTCACCTGTCCAGAGCACACCCTGTCGGCATGCTGCGCGCCAGGCCGCGCACTCCCAGCCGACGGAAGTACGGAATACAGTCCAGGTTGTTGGCCAGAACTGCCAGAGAGTCGGACGGGTTCACGAAGAACGCGCCCTCGCCAATTATCATGTTGCGGTCCTGTGGAGTGGACACGAAAAAAGATCAGACATTTGCAAGAGTGGGTGGAGTAAACATCATTGCATCATTGAATGAATAATAAACGTTTTTTTTCAATTAATACAAAATAACGAATATTCTTAAATTTTTAAATAAATACTTGTAAGCATGAGCAGCAAGCAGCAGACCTCCTGACCATTTCGAGTCAATACAACAATTCCTTCCGCCGCGGCGATCTTGCACTCACCCCGTCTCCGTCGAAGGCGGCTCCGAAGCCCTGCCCGCCCTGTTTGACGGCCTCCACCAGCGGTTTGGCGTAGGTCAGGTTCGGATCGGGGTGGAGGCCGCCGAAATCGGCCAGAGGCTGGCTGTGGACCACCGCGTCCGCCGGCGCGCCGAGCTCCTCGCAGAACACGCGCCGCGCGTACGGGCCCGTCACTGTCAGCGAGAGGAACAAGAGGAGTTAACAACCAGAATAAACAGTATGACGAAACACGCTACAAATACATTTCCGTTACCGGCACCAGAGTGGCACAGGCAAATCAATGATCAGTAAAATAATTACCTTTAACGGTGACCTGTGAGATTATACCGGAAAGCTGATAGCAATTGCCTCACAAAGCTGTCTTTGCCACGGTTTGGATACACACGGGAAATCAGACAGGAAGCCCGGGGCTGGGCAGTCAGCATCGGCACCGCTCGGCTGGTGCCCGTTAGATGAAGCAGTGGAAGTAGTCGAAGTTTACGAAGCATTACGTGGGGTATAACCCGTCCCATATCCACCTATCGTCGACTCAACCGACCTCCGTTGAGACAGTCGACCCGGATTCGGAGCGGCTCGTTGCCGTCCGACCCCGTCAGCAGCTGTCGAATGGCGTCAAAGTCGAAAATCTGCCGCATCAGGTGGACGTAGTCGTCCACAGAGTCCACCACGTCCACAATGAACAGACGACCGTCCACCTGGGGAGGGAGCACGGGGACAGAGCCGTCAGCCGGGACAGCGGCGGCTGGCACCACGCTCAGGGCGGGGGGCTGCGGTTGGGGATAAAATCATATAACAGATATCATCAGTTACAATGGATAACTCAAACCAATGTGAGTTTGGATAACTGAGTTCATCAGAAGGCCATTGATATTTATGCAACAAAACTATTTATAATTCATAAATCATATTTACATCAATTATGTGACCGGCGGACCGGCGGAACTCGATAACGCAGAGCAAGTGTACGTAACTAAGATCCCCTGACGCGACTCTGTCACGCACCGAGTAGGACGAGCTGCCGATGGCGTCGATGTCGCAGCTGATGTCGGCGATGCTGTACGAGCTGATCTTGGTGGAGATCTGGTAGATCTCCGACGTGACCGCTTCCGGAGCCGGACCTGGACATCCGTGCGCACATTACTGATAATGGAAATGACAGCCTACTCGGACAAATAAGCTTATGGCTAAACACACATCATATTAAAAAAACGTTATAATCGGATCTGGGGCTGTTAATCGACACAAAATATGCTTGCGATGTGCATTTACCATTCCGGTATCTTTTACCGTCTCCCCGGTAAAAGATAGCGAGCCGAGACAACATCGCTGTTTTAACGGTAAGCGGATATGTACCATACACTGATCTGTAGATTACAGAAATACCTTATCTTACATTTCTACTTTCTCTGAGCATTTAATAACAAGCTACAACAAAAAGGCATCCCGTCCATCATCAGGACCCAGCGCCCCATCCATCTCTCTATCTGCATCAGGAGAGCCGCGTCCGCCCACCTCCGTTGGCGCAGTTGAACTTGATGCCAAAGTCGCCGTCGGGGCCACCGGGGTTGTGGCTGGCTGTCAGAATGATGCCGCCCATGGTCTGGTGCTTGCGGATCAGGCAGGACACTGCAGGAGTCGAGAGCACACCATGCTGGCCCACAATCAGACGCTTCACCTGCACACAGACGGACACGGCGCTGTGTTAGAGCCAACTCCAGCACTTGACACAGCGCAGCACATGCCAATTTACACATGACCTTAATTGAAAAAATGCTTTGCAATTTGACATTTCAGGTTTGCCTTGGATTCAGATTGCACATGTCATAAACTCCACTGAACAAAATAGCAGCATTCCATTCAATGAAACCAGCTTGCCACTCACTCCATTGGCAGCTGCCATTTTGATGATGATGGCCACAGCTTCCTTGGTGAAGAAGCGGCCATCACCTCCGACAACCAGTGTGCAGCCATCAATCTTGTCTCCTAGAGCTGAGAGCGTGCTTTGCACAAAGTTCTCAGTGTAATGGGGCTTCTGGAACTCTGTGACCTTCTTGCGGAGGCCACTGGTGCCTGGCTTTTGGCCCTCAAATGGTGTCGTGCTCACCTTACTTGAGAGAACACGACTCATTGTGACAGTGATCTGCCAATAGAAACACAAGTATAATGATCCAACTACCAAAAATTGGGTGTTTGTTTAGCACAACAGTTGTATCATTAAGATATAGAGGGAGCATGGGTGTCAATTTCTGCAGAGTTAGGGATGCCTGAGCTCTTCGAATTCCACGCTGGTTCGGCCGGCTTGGCTTTGGAGCCGCAACAGACAGCTCAGGTCAAAGTAACTGCTAGGGCGGCCGCGGATTTGCTGCGCCCGGGCACCCCCAACTCGGCGGAAATCGACACCCATTGGTGGGAGTCATGATTTGAACTTTTATTCCTCACATTATTTGCATTGCCTGCTGAAGACTTTAAAATCACATCACAGTCAATGAATTTTAAAGCTGAATCAACTTTAGAGGGCGCAAAAGGTAGTTATAGCCGATATATTAAAAAACTAGATGTATTTACTGATATTTTTTTAGAAATAATTCAATCAAAAGGATCCTATCAAGCTTTCAAGAACTCTGCTCAAGCTAGAGAGCAGAGTTTGCCAATGTATTGTAAAGACAATCAATCCACACTGATGGCCTTCTTTCTTAAATCCCTACCCTATTCCAGCAGTGATGGAAAATGGAAAATAACTCAGAGAAATGCCGACCCGGCCCAGTGAAGCACCACGTGAACGAAAAGGGGGCGGTAACGACCTTTGAGTCGACCTTCAGGGAGCAAATGTCAACATGTCGCAAGCGCGCAAGAAATGTAGCTTGCGCATTGACCTTGATCAAGGACGAATATTTACATTGAGCGTTTTGCCAAGGGAGGATGAGAGGTGCCTTTCAAAATTGATTTTAGATAAGGCTAATTAGATAAACTGTTGTGCGTATTATCCAGTCAAAGTTACCACCAGCGCGCTCGCCTATCCGCAGGCCCTTGCCTTCACCTTGGGCTGCGATGCGTACCGTCCGTACGTCAGGTTGCGGCCGATCGCGAGACCCCTCGAACTTTGCTGCTTTTTTCAGCTTCAGTTGGATTACTCGCGTCAAAAACCATTGCGTGAGTCCTTTATTTATTTCTGACAAGTTTGAGGTCATCTCATCACCGCCACGGTGACTATAAATAATCACCGCCAGGTTTAGGTCAAGGCCCTAAATACAGCCCGGTCAAGGTCATCAAAAGTCGAGTTTTTAATGGTAGAGAAATCGGTATGTTGCTTCGGGCTCACGGATCGTACACTGATATGACGTCATTGGTGGCATGGGATAATGTCGCAAGATTATTGTTGTAGTTGTTGTACCTTTATTCCTTTACGGCACGTTCTCCCTGTATTTAGGGCCTTGGTTCTCCCCTTATGTTCTGTCCAACCGTTATGCTAACGTCTTCCTTTTCTACCGTCTACGTTTAGTCCCTTCTGAGTTCTGACATCGGTATGTTTTCGTCGCATTACCATGCTGAACCAATCTGTTTGTATTTACAGCTGCGTGGTATCAGTGTTGGTGAATCATGCGCGTGAGGCGTGAGGCTCATAGATCGGCTCACTTGATGCAGCCCAAGATGCTGCCGTACGGCCACGGCGTCGTTACACAGCTGAGCTCGGTGAGTACCGGCTCCGGTATCCCCCCGATCCCCATCGGCGGGGATAGGGTGTCATGTCGACGCCGCGACCGTTGGGTCTGCTGCAGCGTCATGCCTTGGTTCGGAAAGGCGGTTTACGTGGCACCGTTCTCAGCACAGTGGCCTATGACCTAGCTGCGCAACTGACGGCGGCGGCGGATACGGCACGGGGGTCTGAGCACAGCCCTATACGACCACCGCGCCGGGTGGCTCGTGGCCGGGTTATGATAGATCTGTTGACCGGGGTCGACCTCCAGCTCTCGGACGGAACTCCGGGGATGTACTTTCCATGTCTGCATATTCGAAGTATTCCACTCTAAAACTGCTGTACCTACATTGCTTCCGCTAGAGCTCAAAGTTTGTGCTGTTCGTATGATCGTCGGATGGCGAGTTACAATACGTCGGCGGTCCCGTCGCGCGGTATCCTCTTTCGTTCGTAGGTCGTACTGTGTTCGAGGCCCTAGCAGTGCGAAACTCAAGGTTATTTGGCGACGTTGGCTGGTCTCGGTAACGGACTAAACCGGTAAATTAGTCGCCGTTTAAATCAATCCTCGCTAAATAAAACATTCCCAGCGTAGCCGATCGTTGGGCTGAGGATGTGTTCAGACCCGCCTCAGGGCTGCGGAGTCGATGAATTTTAGGGTGACTCCGACTCCGACTTCGGACGGTTCTATTAAAATCCATATCATGATATTGAAGTTCATAATGGAGGTATTTTCATCTTGCCGAAACGCTTTGCAAATATTAAAAATAACGTACAGAATTAAAAGCTGGGTCTAGGGAATCCACCGTCTTCTGCTTCTTTCGCTGAAAGTGTTCGTCTAAAACGGCAAAATGGTTTTTTTTTAACAAAATCTAATTTCGAGCGCAGTATCGTCAATCAAACAGGTGCAGTGCATGACGTTGAGCCACGCAGCGTTAACTCCGACTCCGGAGTCGGAGTCGGCAAGATTTTGACGACTCCGACTCCGACTCCGATTCCGGGCAGAACTGTCGACTCCGACCGACTCCAACTTCTACTCCGACTCCGCAGCCCTGGTTCAGACCTTGTTAATGTTGCATGAAAATGCGTTACAAAAACGGCAACGGCCGCAGATACCAGCAAGTAGGTATTAGCGCAAAAGTCAACCGCTGGGCCGTTTCAGTGATGGCGACTGAGGGTAATGCCCATCGTGTATGGTAATCGCTCTTCTTGTTGCTTGGGTACCCCATAAATCAATGTTGTGTATAGAGTAAACGCGGAAATAATAGATATATACATTTATTACACGTATAATGGTCGCCAGCGTCCATGGTACACTCCCCTCCCACCCCTCCCTTACCGACACGGGCTTGGCAGACTGAAGCACACGACTGAAGCACACGACCTCAGTCTCTGCTCAGACCGGAACACCCGACCCCAGTCTGTGCTCCGACTGGAACACCCGACCCCAGTCTGTGCTCAGACCGGAACACCCAGCCCCAGTCTGTGCTCCGACTGGAACACCCGACCCCAGTCTGTGCAGTGGCTGAATGGTGGCGGTTACTGCTGCAGCCCCGTTATCCATTCACACCCATTGCAGGCAGTCCCGTTAGCCTGAGCTCCTTTACGTTGGCTCATCAAACACTCGTCCATTTACACGCACACCGCAACACATTCACTTGGATAACAAGGAAATCAAACAACAACAACATCCTAAAGGCACAACAAGCAAACAGCCTCAGGATTCACCGAAACTCTGCAGTTGAGCAGACACCCGGCTATAGAAATAGTGCCTGCAGATACACAACACAAAACAAAGAAACACTATACGCGCAACAACAAACGACAAACACGGAACCGGACCTCAAAGCTGGCGTTGGCCCGGTCGCTCGCTTCCCACACGCTCACATATCACGGACACTGGTGGCTGGCTCAGAGAGCCCGCCCACTACCTGCTCCCTGCAGTTCCCCGTCACCCGCCCTGACCTCGGCTGGTCGGCGCGCCACGCTGACCCGTGACCCGGCCCCGGAGTGGTGACGGTCGCCCTGACCGTACGTCAGGTCACTGGCGGTGTGTCGTGACGGTAGAAGTACGGGTCAGTTCTGGGCCTCGTGGCCTAGCCGCATGGCCTGTGGTCGTGACCAGATCTCAGGCATTCCTGGCAGTCAGATAGACAGGCACCCGACCCTCTCAGGAAAGAGACGCTCGCCGGGGGCTAGCTGTAGATAGACCAGACCAACTGGACGGCGCGGTGGTCGGCCGCCCCTCAGAGGCTGTTGGCCGCGCTGTGGTCAGGGCATCTGACGTGTCCGTGTCGGTCCCCATCGGACCGACGTCGCTGCGTCCTACCCGCGTTCCCAGAAAGGCACCTGAATCATCGTTGAGCCGGAGGTGCCAGCCTCTCAGGTGGGTACCGTTCCTTTCGGCGCCGCCAGAGCTCGGGCCTCTCCAGGCGACACCGGGCCCAGGCGCCGGACCCGCAGTGCACACTCACTCACCCGAACGGCAAGACGCTCGGCTCTGCACCCGGCGCTCAGAACTGGCCGCTCTTCTTCTGCAGGAAGATGGGGTTCTCGAACGAGGAGAGCATGGCGGCGCGGTCGCCGCTGAAGCCCCGGTACCGCAGACAGAGGAAGGCCGACAGAAGTGACGAGATGACCAGGATCGCCAGCAGGACGATCAGCGTGGCCGCGAAGCCCGGCGTCGACATGCAGATCTGGTGCTCGCTGCCCTCCACGGGCACCACCACCGTCTGCGTGTCGTTGCCGGCGGGCGTCTCGAGCGCGAACGCCAGGTCGCGCGTCGACACCACCTGGATGATGCGGTCGATGCCGACGTCGCGCGCCTCGTCGGCCGATCGTCGCTGGCGGTGCGGCGCGTCGTATCCACCCTTGTCCTGCTGGCCGCACTGCTCCGAGCACTGGTAGCGGCAGATCTGGATCGTGCACTGGAAGTGAACCTCCATCGAGTCGGGGAACTTGAACGCCTGGAAGTGAGCGTACGACAGCACCGACGCCGACGCGCCGAAGTTCTTGATCTTGGTGAACTTGGACATCAGCTTCGGCCGGGTGATGCAGCCCGCCTGGTCGACCAGCTGGATCGGAGCACGCTTGCCGTCGTGAGCCACGCAGTTGCGGACGAGCATGTCGAACTTGTTATCGTCGTCCTTGATGGCCAGCACCATGGTCATGGTCTGTCCGATCTTCACCAGACCGCTGACCTCCGCCGCCCACGGGCCCTTGCCGACCTGGATCTGCATCCAGCAGCCCACGTTATCCCCGGCGAAGTCGGCGCGCACCACGTCCAGCATGTCGACGGGGAAGGGCCGGAAGGTGACGGCCTTCTCGTACTGGTTGTGCCAGGTGCAGCGCAGCTTGCGCGCCTGGTCCCAGACCTCCTGCACCTGCGGGTCGTACTGGATGATTATGGTGTTCTCGAAGAAGGTGCCCGTGTCGGCGCCGTAGCCGCCGTGGCCGCTGTCCGAGTTGCCCGTGGTGCCACACGAGTTGATGCTGACGTCGAACTGGGCGTGCGCGCTGTTGGAGCCCGCCTGCAGGTGCACGCAGTCGTAGTTGCTGTAGTGACCCTTGCTGAAGATGATGCCAGAGAACGGCTTGTCAAAGTGCACCGAGACACGCATCAGCGCCTTGTCGCACTGCACGTCCAGTGAAACGATCCGGGGCATGTCGGCGGCCGGCACGGGCCACACCTCGGCGCCGCCGCCGTATCCGCCGGCCTGGGGCGCCGCCGGGGCGCCGTAGTTGTCCTGGGGCGCCGCCGGGGCGCCGTAGCCGTCCTGGGGCGCCGGCTGGTACTGGCCGGCCGGGGCACCGTACTCTTCAGCGGGCTGCTCGGGCGTCTGGTAACTGACCTGGGCCTGAGCCTCCGGAGCGCCGTACTGCTCGGCCACCTGGTGGGACGGCGGCGCGTCGTAGGTCTGCTCCGGGTGCGCCGGCGCTTCGTAACTCTGCTGAGGGGCGTCGTACGTCTGCTGAGGGGCGTCATAGGTCTGTTGAGGGGCATCATATGTCTCCTGAGGAGCGTCGTAAGTCTGTTCGGGAGCGTCATAGGTCTGCTGGGGCTCCGAGTAGCTCTGCTGCGGCTCCGAGTAGCTCTGCTGCGGCTGGACCTGAGCGGCGTAGGACGGCTGCGGCGCCGAGTAGTCGTCCGCCGGAGCGCTGTAAGACTCCCCACCACCGTGGCCGGCATTATGGCCGCCTCCGTGACCGGCATCGTGGCCGCCATCTTCGTACTGCTGCGGCGGCGGGGCCACGTAGGCGCCAGACGCTACCGTGCCAGAGGAGTGAGAGTCGCCGTGTCCTCCGGAGCTGTGTCCTCCAGAGCTGTGTCCGCCAGAGCTGTGTCCTCCCGAGCTGTGTCCGCCAGAGCTGTGTCCTCCAGAGCTGTGTCCTCCAGAGCTGTGTCCTCCCGAGCTGTGTCCTCCAGCAGCGTGTCCTCCAGCTGCGTGTCCTCCGGTAGCGTGTCCTCCGGCAGCGTGTCCTCCGCTGGGAGCGCCGTATTCAGCACTGGGCTTAGGAGGCGGGCCGTAGCTGGGCTGAGGCGGACCGTAGACGGGACGGGGCTTGTGGGGACGAGGGCGGGGCCGGGGGCGGTAGCGGGGAGGGCCGTGGGCCGGCTTGGGCTTGTAGACGGGCCGCGGCCGGCCGTGTCCTCCTCCGACAGCCACCCCGTGTCCGGCTCCGTGTCCGCCGCCGACGGCAGCTCCGTGACCCCCGCCGTGTCCGCCGCCGAACGCGCCGGCCGGCGCCTTGGGCAGCACCACCGTGCCGGGCCTGACGGGCACCGCGAACGGCACGGGGATCGGTCCGGGCACCGGCGGGCTGCCCTTGGGCGGCCGCGGCGGGCCGTAGTCGTCGTGGCCGCCCGAGCTGTAGCCGCCGGAGGGGGGCGCGTGCACGGCGTGACCGCCCGAGTCGCGCTCCTCTAGCTGAGAGGCCAGCGCCAGCTGGTCCTCCTCCGGGGCGTCGTCGGAACGCGCCTGAGCCTCCAGGGGCGCCTCGGCGGGCGCCGGGTCGGCGGGCTCGGCGCCCGGCTCGGCCACGGCCACTCCCTGGACGACCTGAGTGGCCTCCTCCTCAGCGCCGGCCGCCTGAAAGAGAAACACGGGACTCTGGTCAGATGGAGGGCAGTCGTATGAGATACATTGATTACTGTTTTTGTTTGGGTAGATGATAGTCTCGTGTCAGGTGGTCATTTTATGCTAGCACACATCGAGATCGAGAACAGGCAGTGGGAAAATATAACAAAACACACGGATGTCTCCCCATCAGTCAAACCCGAGAAAGTCGCGTCACGGTGCGTTTAACATGCCGGCGGTTCGGATCTGTCGCCCGCTGACCGGTGGAATTTCAGACAGCTGTCATTAGGGCTGGTCCGGAGCGGCCGGACGGCGGCTGTTTCGCACCCTGGCGGCGTAAGCCGGCCGTGGGAGCGCCAGTGGCGGCCGGTGGCCGACATTCGGCCGGCCGGCGCACGTGCCGGCGGCGGCTGCGGCCGCTCTGTGTCCTCCTGACCGGCCGGTTCCGATGGGAACCCAGCACCGCGTGATTCGGACGGTGCTCAATTGGTAACGGTGGCGCGCGGAGCCGTGATGGTCCGTCCAACGGACCGCCCGCGGCCAGCCCCGCCGGGCACCGCCGGCGCCGCTATTTCGCCCAACGGTCGCAGATGTGCGCCGCGCCCGGACGAAGGATTGTGGCCGGCGTGCAGTTCCAACTGTCGGATTCACGCTGTCGCTGACTGTCGGCGTCCCGTTACCATAAACGTATTCTGGGGGTCGGTAAAACCGAGTCTATTTCTCGCTCCCCCTACCACCGTTTGCCAATGAGCTCCGTATACGTAATCCACAGTTCGGCCAATGCAGATCAGTCCTATATAACCGCTAGCCATTCCGGCTAATGCAGATTTGCCCTGTATATCTACTGGGAAGTCCATGCAGATTCGCTCTCCGCGCGCCGTGTGGCCGGCCGGTGACGTGCCGACTCCTCGGGCTCCGGCCGGACGTGTCTGACCCCGTTTATCGACTAACCCACTCATCCCGAATACGTAAATGGAGCGCCGCTCCGACCCCCGCCGAGCTACCTGGCAGCGCACAGCGCCGCTGACGCAACGGAGACGCGCGGAACGAGGGAGAGCGGCCCAGTTAGGAAGGAGACATACCACACGGACACAAACAACAGCACGTATACGCAGACAACAGCACATGGACGTAAACAGAACATCACACTGACGTAAACAGAACATCACACTGACGTAAACAGAGCATCGCATTGACGCAAACAATAGTACATGGATGCAAACAGAAATTCACCTGGACATAGGGGAAGGTGGGGTAAGACGGCCCAGCGGGGCAAGACGGACCACCAGCCCTCCCGGCTGAACCGCTGCTGGTATCTACTGCTTTATGCACTCACTATGTTTGTTTTCCTTCGTAACAATGGCCACCTTGGGCTCATGCTGCTAGGATGCATAGCTTTTGAGTTATTGAGAAAAATGTTGTTTTTCGTCAAACCGATCTAATATAAGAGGTCTACGGGTGATTCAATTACGGCGCCTTTCTTGCATGATTAGTTTCTATTTTGCACTTAACTGTGAAGAACAAAGTTATAAACTTAGTTATAATCACAATTTAGGAAAGGCAAGGTTTTGCAATGTTGGGCTAACTATTTGACATATACGTCATGATAATGACATAATTTAGATTTGGGGCAAGACGGACCACTGTGGTCCATCTTACCCTTTGCTGGTCCATTGTACCCTGCATATGGAAACTTTTTTTTCCAAAACATTGACACAAGTTTAAGTAAACTAATTTTTCAGGAACGAGTCTTTGTTGCATGTGAGCCATGCATGCAAGTGCTCAGTTAGCATGCATTCATGCCAAACGACAATCAACACACATGTTCCCAGCTTTTAGCTGCACTTCCATCACACATGAGTAAAGAATAAAGGCTCATTTTGTTATTTTACCATTCTGGTTACTTTTTCTTACAAGAGTACAGAGCAGAAGTGTAACACACATGAACGGATAGCAGGGACTGCTGGGTGGTCCGTCTTACCCCACGTTTTTTCTTGTCCGAGTTTTTGACATGTCCCTCTTTAAGAGCATCCACCACCTAGATGTCTTTAATTTGAAATTTAGTCTTTACACATATCAACAGAGGAAGGATTCAGCATTCCGAAGACTATAAATAATATGAATTACGAGAGCAGTGTAGCAAGATATGCGGCCTCAAACCTTAGCTGGTCCGTCTTACCCCACCTTCCCCTACACAGAACATGGCACGGGCGTAAACAAGGTGTAAAGCGGACGGCAAATGGGTGACCCGTGTATAATAATTGTTCAGCATTTAGTTACAGCCTTAAGAATAATCACGAGTGTTTCAAACGTTTTCTTTCTTCAGATGCCGAACTCCTGAGATGAACATCGTGTCACCACTTGCCAGCCAAAGATTCCCGCTCAAGTTGGATGTTTCGTTTGGAGCTGCATGCACGTCACAGGTAAGTCGCTGACCACGGCAGCGCTGTCGCTCCTGTGACCTGGGATGTGGGTCAGATAGGTGTGGCTCTCGCTGTCGGGAGTTGCCGCGGGCTGTCCCCATTCCTACCGGGCGCGGACATGATACGCCCGGGAGAAGCCGGGGCGGGCCGAGCGGGCGAGCCGGCACTCCGCACGACAGGCCGCCTCCGCGTGATACGGTCACGCGACGTGTCGCTGCGCGCACGCCGGCTCTCGTCTCCACTACATTATATCCTGAGCCTGTTTTTCCATCGGTCGATTCATACCACTTATAATCAGCTTTTCGTCAGCTTTGTTCATCCAAGATTACAGTTTTGGCTTCCACCGTTTTTGCCGAATCTTTGTCAAAGTTGCAGCCACTTTGTTCTGGTTTCCTCGGCTGTTTTGACCCATCCAATGTCGTGCCGCGTTACTAATATCGTCACGTCACCCACATATACCGCACATGACATAGAGGTCAGCGCTGACCACCTATTCCCGCCCCGGAGGCACGGAGGACCGCCGCGTCAATAACAGTGGTCACCAATCTTCCGTAGGTAGCACCGCCCATTTCCACACTGGCGGCGCCAATTGCCAGCTGGCGGTATAGAGTTTGTAATAGGCGCGGAAATATATTATCTCATTATAACTGTACGGCCGCGCTGGCGAACTGGCGGCGCGGCGTCGGCGGCCCTACTGAACCTGTGACCCGCTGTGGTCCCGAGGAGTCCAAACGACCCGCTGGAACGCGACGGGTGTGTGCTCGGCCGGCCCAGTAATTGGGACTACGGTGTATTGACGGCGTAATTGGGGCACTCCAGAGAGGATGACACGGCAGAGGAGACGGTACACGGCAGACTTGGGTCAGGAGAGCTGTATCTGCAATGGATCTAACAATCTCAAATGCCGGTGCTGAAACGCAGTCCGTTATTCTACCGTTACTGGAATCAGGCATGCCAGGAGCGACGCAATGTTACTGATACAGGAGACGTGTCGCGATCATTTGTGGCATATTTCTGACGCAAGATCGTGACGCTGATCCTCCCGTTGCTCCGATGAACCCCGCCGCGCCGTGCTGAAATGCCAGCCATGCGCGGCGGTCGTGGTGCCATTTCGCCGCCGCTGCGGAACGTTTGAGCACCGAAGGGCACTGGGTCAGCCGGGCGACCGGCGCTGACCCCAGCGGTGACCCCGAGCGGCGACCCCTGACCTTCCGGGGCGGGCCGCGGTCGGCCGCCGCGCCGCCTCCCACCCACTCGGCGTCTGGCGCCGCTCCTTCCGCCCTCAGTCAGGAGCGGTTACCGCACCGTTCACACCTGGTGAACGGGGCCCGCTTCCGTCCGGCCGGCCGGCGAGAAAGGGCTGCTGGCGGCGCCCGGTCGGACAGCCACTTCCGCGTTTCAACTATTTAGAAATGTTATTCTTTTTTCTCCACCAGAGACCGCCACACCTCTGGCCATTGCACAATTCTGTGAGCGATTTGGTGCTATCTTTGTGTGGCGCGCTGCGGTCTCCGATATCTTCGTGTCCGACGCTGCAGTCTCCAGTGCTACTGCGCTGTGCTAAAATGCAGTCTCCCGTTGGAAGAGTGACAGTTTCGCTCTCGATGCCGTTAGTGCTATTACTTTCTGGAGAGATGGTTACGTGTTTATGTTATGACGCAGTTTGAGCCGCTTTATACGGGTTAGTGTTGTATTGGGAAACCAAACTTTGCTGTTATCATGTTCCTGAAAATTACTTTTCGTTTGTTATTCGCAATATATGCACTGAGTTGTAAATTATGACACGATTGCAGCATTGAAGTGCCGTTCAAATTTCGCCTCAGTTGCTTTTAGTGTTGAGCTGAATTGTTGACATTACGAAAGCTCCACTTCATTTCAAGATAATTTCGCATCCAATTACATTTGGAAGCACACTATGTGAAACGTTTCACGTACACTGAGTTGTAACTCAGGGATGCCTGGTTACTGTGCCGTGACGCTCGTCCTAGAACGTAGGAGCACGGCACGACATTCCCACTGGAAGATCCCGCCCATTCTGTGATTTGCATGTGTGAAGCGGGTCTCTCGTCACGCATTCCTCCGAGCCACAGCTTTCATTTCGTCCGAACGGCCACGGCGGGCGCCGCCTGCCGCCGCGGCTGTGCGTTTCTCGATTCCCACATTGATTCCGGTTGACGGGGCGCCCCTCGCGCGTGGCGTGTCTGTCTGTCTCTGCATTTCAGGATAGGGTCAGGTCGGTCAGCGTCAGAAGGCTAGTGCAGGAAATATCTTGTAGGGCACGGCAGACCAGTGAATGATTATCATGATTATCACATCCTCAAGCTTTAACTAGGGCTTTGAACGGAGGCCAGGGCTCGTTCAATGTTACCACCGAGCCAGATCGGTGAGAATCAGCGGAGTTGAATCAGCGGAGTTGAGTCAGCGGAGCTGACCAGGGACACGGCATGCCTTCACAGCGAGGTCGGCCGCCCCTAGATCATTATCACCGCCCTGGCCGCGCCTGTCTGTGCCCCATCCCTACGAGATGGTGCGAGACGGCGCGATGAGGGCGGTCCGGACCTCGCCCGACCGCCCGCGGCCCACCCTCTCATTAAGGTCGTTAACGGGACGATGGCACGCGGCCCCAAACAACAGAATGCCGAACAATTTGGAGCCGAGAACGCCTGGACAGCCTGCGGATACAGGGGGCGAGTATCCTCTGGAGAGAAGCCGAGACAAGTGAAAAACAAGGCATTTGTGGACCTACGTCACCGCTCGCTTTTGCAGCGCGTTAGATTGCGATTCATGTGATGATTCGCTCGCGGCCTGTCATAAATGGGTTATCACAGGCATTAATGATTCAACATAAATAGAGGGGTTATATGACCAGATATTTACAGGCACTTAAAGTCCATCGGCATGAATAATTAAGTTATGACGACCATATGCTTCACTGCATCGCTGCACCAGGCTGCAGACTATCCTGTCGGTGCGCTCCTCCTCAATATCCCGTTCCACATGAGTAACTCCGCTAAGACGTCATCATCGCGGCATCCGATACATCTGGGTCAGTGTGTCTGGTGCCTGGGCTCCGTATCGGCTGCGTCACACAGCGCGTAAGGTGGTCCGCTGGGGACTGAACGCCCGGTCAGTGGGGCCGCGGGAGTTACACGGCCGAGCGCTCACCGCCGCGCCTCGCTGACCGTGCCGCTCGAGCTGCCGTTCATATCCGCGTGGGGATGTGGAGGAAGGGAGAGTGGCGGCTCATGGGGCTGGTGGAGCTGAAATGTCATGAATGCTTTTCTGCCGAGCTGGCAGAGATGAAATAAGAACGATACAGCAATGCTGTAGGAGCTATCTCAGCAGGATTCGATCTTTTGAGAACAGGGCAAACGTGGCAAACGGCGGACTTCTGCCAACTATGCCATCGCTTACAAACACGTGGTCATTGGTAGTTTATGGAATGTATCGTATACGCCAACATGTAAGTTGGCAGCAGCACGCCGGTTTCCATCCCTCTCATTCGTCTCTGTCCGTCCCATCCGGGCGGTCCCTTCGGGCCTCCATCCCACTCATCCGTCCCGTCGCGTCCCGGCACGGCGCGGCGCGACGACCCACTTGGGTCGCCGACTGACACGGTTTTCGGCGGATCTGCTCTCGGCGCTCTGCCCGCTCTGCTCGGCAGCTGCTCGTCGCCCGGGGGCACGGACAGGCTCGGCGGAGACCAGCAGAGGAGGGAGGCTGCCGTGCCGTCTCCCAGCGAGCCAGGAGCGGCGTCAATGGCACGCCGTGCCCAGCTGTCGCGGCAGTCAGCGTGGCGCGGTGCTGTGACCTTTGGTGCCGCGGCTGACGGCGGGCTCAGACGTGACCCGGGTGACCCGGGCTCCGGCGCGGCAGACGCTACCTCTGAAGATCACTCGCGACCGCCGCCGCTGGGCCGCCGACCTCTGAGAGCCTCGTCGTGACCGACTGACGGCCCTTCTGTCCTGTTGGACGTCGTTCTGTGAGTTGTGACGGCTCTGACACATCGTGTCGACTCTCTGGGCGGCGTGACGCGCCGTTCCGGAGCTCCTCGCGCTGACCCAGTTCCGCGGAAACCGATCGGAGCCGCGCGGCACGGGCGCGCGCGCCGGCCGGTGTGGCGGCGGCGCCCGCGGCGGCCGCCGGCCCGATTGGCACCGGCGCGACCGAGTAGCGGTCGGCGCGAACCGCGTGCCGCCGCGCCGCGTGCTGGGCCAGTTAGCCACCGCGGCCGCGCGCAAGGACGCCCCAGGGCTGCCGGAACGGCGCCCGAGTGCGCCGGCGCCGCCCCGGGCACAACGAGCGGTGTCTTTGTGCGGTCCGCTGAGGCGGAGTGCCGCGGGCGGGGCTGTTGCCGAGCTGTCGTGCAGTGGACAACGGCACGGTGGTCGGTGTGACGTTTTAATCCCTCATATGAGTTTTCGGGAGAGCTGTCATGAGTTCTTTCCCTCACTGCATGATGATCCATGTTGTGAAAACTGAAAGATCGGCTAGTAGATATGTTGCCCATTGTATTTTGTACTGCTTTGGACTGTGGTAAATGGGAAGCTCACCACGGGCAGAACAGCACAGCTCTCAGCATGTCGGAGTGTGTTCGTTAGAAGACGGCTCTGTCGGACCAACACTGCATACCTGACTGGAAAGCCGAGATGAATAACAAGCATCATCTCTCCTCAGTCGGCCCGTTGTCGCTATCCAAACACGGAACGCCTCCCGTCTCCTATTGAAATGTGACGCCCATGGATCATTCTCACCGCCGGCCAATGTTGTGTCACAACAGCCAGTAATGGCCAGCTTGTTTACTGAAGCGTATGATTTACGCATTCAGCCGGAGCAGCTGGAGCGGAACGAAAACTCTCGACTCCCAACACCAGCTGGGACCGGCGGCAGTGGCTGCGGTCCGTGTTTGGGGAGGGTGGGCGGACATTGTGTGTGCGTTTTTTAGAGTTTCGGTCAGGGAATAACAGAGAGAAGCTCGGGAAAGTGGTGCAGTGAACGGCTCGGACAATCGGCGCCGAGAAAGCTCAATCGGTTGGCCGAACAGATGCTACCAAAACCATGACGCTGTAAACGGTTTTCGTGAAGCGTAGGTCCGAAAGTGGTGAAACTTCACAGCGACTGTCGCGCTTGAGGCGGCTTTGACTAATGATACACCGGCCTTTCGTTACGGGATAGGATTCCCCATATCTACCTTCGTACATAATCTCTGAATGTCGTTATTCTTATTCCTATCACATATCCGATTCTCTTGAGATTATTTATCTGTGAACTCTGCATGCATATGTGATGATGGTGACAGTTTTGCCTGTCATTGTCACCACTTCATTCGTTCCCACCACCGGGACCGACAGAAACAACTTCAATTTAGCCGATGGTAGACCGTTAGCCATATTTGTCCGTTTATAGCCCATGAAATGGAGGGTGTCTCACTATGAATAAGTGATAACTATAAACCATACATTATGTTGTAATATTCGTGGCATTTGCACAGTTTTGGAAGTCATGGTTGAGTCACCAAGTACAGCCAAAAACACCACTGTTCTTTGACGCATGTTGAAGCTGCTCACGGGCGTGTAAGGACCAATCACACTGTGTCGGGACTCGGGTACTCACCAGGGCGAGCAGCGCGCACAGAAGAACGTTCCGCAGCAGCATGGCGATCCTTCACGGCTCTGAAACGAACACAGAAACCATGCGTCAGTAGCATGTAGTGACAGCGGAGAATGGAATCCGGAAATCAGTCGCAGTTATCTAAGGTAAGGTGGTAAGATAATATCACTTAGGTACAGGTGCCAATAACAACGATGGGTAATAGCTCATACGTCCAAGGTAGATTTTTCACACCACATTCTTGTACTCCAAGTGAGCAATTAGCAACCCTTACTTTAAACGGTGTTCATTGAAGTCGCCTCTGCTCTCCTACTTCCTGATAAGTGGCATTGTATCAAATCAAGCCGTCCTTCCAAATCTTTGGTAATTATCAGCCCTATCAGTGTTCTACAGAGCTCGATAGCCATCAGTTGTAATGTGGGCTACTTCACGGCGCCCCGCGCTCTGGACAGGCTCGGCCCGTGCCCCCGGTGACCACCGTCCCGTCCCACTGCCTCCGACAGTCACCAGAGCGTTACCGACCCGCCACTGGAGCGGCCACCAGCCCCACCACCGGAACCGGCGCGGCCTGGCGCTTCCGAGCGGGCCCGGCACGTGTCTGCGGTCATCCCTACCCCCGGGTCCCCACGGCCGACAGCCCGGGGGTGTGCCCTCGCTGGGATCAGGGGCGCCGAGCCGTGGACCTGACAGCTGGCTGCGAGCACCGGGTCACCGGTTACACCGGTCGACCTGCAGAGGTCACCGCAGGTCGGCAGGGGTCGGAGGTCACCCGGTGTGTGGGGATTGCCGGGTCACCGGTGCACCGGCACCTTGCGCCGACCCGCGCTGTGCACCGGTGGGCTCCCGGCACCCATGGTGGGCCGGTGACGACCTCCACTGACGGTATTCGCTGCGTCAGAGTCCGTGTGCGAAATTACAGTGACACAACGGCACATAGTGGGTTATAATGGCAGCAGGGTGCTACTCATGGCGATCAGATCTGAGAACTGGTTCACTGCCTGTTTGGAAACCAGCTTTAAGCGATGGGTTTGTTTGGGGGTGGTCGCATCGCTGATAGGGCCAAATATGTATGGAATGAAGCTGATATGGTGTTATTCTGTTTGAGCATCATAATGACGCATTTTGTGCCATTTTGTAGACGACCGTAATTTCATCACCGGTCTAAAAAATTTGTGTGGATTGCCGATTGTCACTATACCTATTTCTTCGATCTGCAAGGTATTCTTATTACCATGTATGTCCAGGCTATGAATTGGTCGATAACGTATTTAATCGTCCCAGTTCATTGGACCTATGATGATATTCGTTCAAGAGCCTACATTCCCAAAAATGCGAAGCATTTCATGGTCGGGTATTTTAGAATACAAAGAGCATGATTACTTTTTTTTATACAAGTATGACTTATGCAAGCTTCGGTCTTCGGTCGGCGGAGGTCGCTGGCCGGTCGACCATTGGTGCTGGCTGCCGACCGGCTCTCTTTTATTGGATCCTCAGGAAACTTATTAATTTAGCCTACCATGGCGGTAAAGTTGATTCGCAGTCCCATTTCAACAGATGTATTCGATCCATAAAACAAGTAGGCGGATTGCTAAAGAACGGATCGGGGTTACACTCCGTGGTAAGTTTTCTGATTGCCCGCTCGCGTCTTCAACGTTTCCGAGCTGTCTTTGCCACTGTCTCTGCTGCACACTTGTCGCCACTCACCTCCTCTCCCCCAAGTCCCCGTCGGTCACCTCACCTGTTGCCTCTACGAGCCGCCGACAGTGCACCGTTCGCCGCCGCTGCTCCTCCGTCTCTCCGCTGCGCTCCTGCAGTCCGAGTCCGCACACAGCCGCCGTACTGTCCGTCCGCTCCGGGTGGCACACAGAGTCAGAGTCCGGGACTGAGAGCAGTCGGTCACCACTGCGACCGGCCGCCGCTGGAGCTGCGTCTCGACTGCGCCAGGCTCGCCGCCGGCCGGCCGCCTCACTCCACAGACCTAGATCGGTGCCGGCCGACGCGCCGACCGCAAGCTTTCGACGGCCGCGGGCGCCCGAGGGCAGACCCGGGCCGGAAACGGACGGTGGCGGGACGCCTCCTCCTCTCACATCCTGACTTCTTCTCGGCTCTGACGGAGATCGGTGGTCCGAGGAGTATCTCAGTGTAGTGCAGGCTGCCTGCAATAGTTGGACGCTGACGCTGGCAGTCTGCTGAACAGGAGTCCGTTGAACTAGCCCGACCCTGGGCCCATGGTCAATGATGGACGGAATGTCGTCGCTCATTTTATTCAAAATGGGACCACTTAAAGAGGTGACCGAGATGATAGTGTAGTGATGATCTACCGACTTCATGGGAGGAGCCTGCACTATCATTCATCAAAGAACTTGTCCAACCTGAGCCCAATGGGGGAAATAAATCGGTGAATTTTTATAGCAGGAGCTAAACAAAATGTGTCAACCTGAAACCAACCGGCAACACAAAGCTATTAAGCAATGAAATCGAATGGGGCAGCTATTTCCAGAGCCTTTTCCAGAACTCACGTCTGATGTCTAACCGATCGTCACAATAAACTGCAATTTTAGCGTTGCTAATATCTTCAGATGTTATGCGACGACATGCGGAATATGTCAACTCAGCCTTTAGTACCTACAGTCTACACCCTGGTATATAGAAATATAAACACGTTAGCATGTTGTTTTGCTCCTATGAAACATCTTTTGGATTACCCAACCTCTTGAAAGAGACGTCAATGCTGTGTCTGCGCAACTTTTCTCTTCACATGGATGGCGAAAATGTAATATGGATGCACTCATGCCCTAAACTAACCGAGTTTCCACTGGCGCACTTTGCGAAATCGTCACTCTGCATGTCACAATAAACAGCGCCGAATTCCGGCTTTCTGTCAGACTGGAATGGTTCGGCCATGCGTTCCACCCGTTTTGGAGAAAGAGTGTGATTATGACATCACGAATTAGTGCCTGCAGCGCAGCGAAGGCGGGTTTTTCCGAGGCATTGTGACTACTGACTGCCACCGGAGCTTTCACGCTCAGTTATTGTGGCGAACATATAGAGTGGAACCGAACGATATTGGCACTCTGACTGTTTGGATGGCTCCATTGAAGGTGCCAGTCGTTGCTGAACGGCTGTTCCATGCCTGATTGTTGAGGTCTCTCTGCTGTTTGGCTTGAACAGCGCTTGTGAACCGGATCCGGGTGCGTACTTAGGCTCATAATTGATCCGCTCTGCTTTTCTACCAATTATTGAGTGCGCGGCAGCTATTGGATCTCACCATTGAGTTTCGATGAACTGCTCCTACCGAATTATCCCAACGGACGCAGTCCCAGAATAGCACGGGGAACGCAGTAAAAATGACGATGGGCTCTCGGCTTCCACAGAGGGGTAACGGTGTCGGCCTTATAGACCTGTCAGGAGCGCGAGATGTGACCGGACCAGCTTCAATTGGCCGTGGAGAGCGGTCCGCAGTAATTAATGTAGCCAGGACACGACACGGGGCTAGTTGAAGCGCCCACCCGGGCGCAACAGCACGGTGTTTCAGGAGTTTGCTGCCGTGGAACAAAGTGTACGACGCTCTATTTATATCATTTGCGCTTGGTCATTAATGCTGTTTCCATCTAAAGGTATATTCTAATTTCGTGTTTATTGTTCGTCGGGGTACTTGAACATTTCACTTGCCCACTGTGCCATCAATATCCAGCCCAACCGTCAATGCGAATCTGCACACTCGTCCACTAGATTGATCGACTGAGAATGAGGATGCTTGGCAGCACATGAATCAGAATTCCATCCAGCTCGTTGCCGGCTGACAAACCTTTGCCACGTAGTTATTTGGTGCACTACCAGGAGCTCTCATAAATCAGTTTCATCGAGCAACACTGAAATCATCTAATCATGTAGTTTGTCCTTTGATGGTTTTAGAAGTAGAATAAACTTTAGTAAAAGACATAAAACCGCGTTCATGAGGTTGTGATCATTATTCAAGTCAGACCGGTTTCGTTCCACAGTGAGAACATCTTCAGTGACAATATAAACAGATATGTAAGTTACATGTTTTGATGGGATGATTACCCTGACACGATATCGAAATTATTTGCACACACATATGCACACATGCAAAACTCAGTAAGTACACTTCTTCCAGGTGGAGAATTGTTCTACTTAATGATGACGACGCGCGACGGTGATCATCATCCCATCATCGACGGTAATCATCCCATCAAAACATGTAACTTACATATCTGTTTATATTGTCACTGAAGATGTTCTCACTGTGGAACGAAACCGGTCTGACTTGAATAATGATCACAACCTCATGAACGCGGTTTTATGTCTTTTATTGAAATCATCTATTGTAACATTGGAAGCTCCAAGATAGTTTCGCTTTAATATTCGATAAACTGATGAGGGTACTGTTCCTAAACTAGTTTGTGGAACGAGGAAATCAATGTGCCGATAGAAGTGGTGTTATCATTTATGGCGCTCAGAAACAATGCGGTAGGTATCGTGCACGGCAACCTTTGCACAGTCAATGCACATGACTGTCTTGTCTCGAATTTCGACGGATTTTTTTTTTTTACTCTTTGACTCATGGCTGAAAAGACATAGAGATTAAGGACAAATAACGCTGTTTGGTACCGTAACTATGCGTATGATAAAAAACTGACACCACATGAAATCTTTTGAGTTGTTGCTTGTAAAGTGTAAACCCTTGTTACTTGTTTTGCCTCGCGCCCAAGCTACGAGTGTCTATAAACATAACTGTCATGATTTAATTTGCCCATGACCGGGGTACGTGACTGCAGAAACTCAGTGCCATATTCAACTTCCATCATGTAGCCTGCACGCTCTTCTCATTCTTCCCTCCCGTAGCGCACCAAGTCGTGCCAATGTTAACGAACCGTCAACTGAGTTACTGCCGATTACGCGGAGAACTGACGGACTTTGATGATCCATGGCCGGTCCATCGTCCTGTTAACCTCAGTTTTATCGCTCGAGTGCAACTTAGCCTATTCATGGGGTGTGCGCTGTCGGTGTTTATTGCCGTTTTTGCCGCGGCTCTCTGGGCGGTATGGGGTGCCGACATGCCGCCGGTCTTGAGCGCTGGGCAGTGCGAGAGACTGACTGACTGACTGAGCATTGTGTAGCGCCGCTTGAAGCGTTTCCACGGGACCAATAGATAGCTGGATCGGCAAAGTGGCAGTCGGCAGACTGATAAACCGAATAGACTAACGGAGAGACAGACCGACGAACCGACAGACTGACGAGCCTGGCACACAGACCAACAAGCCGACAAGTCGACAGTAAGACTGACATGACGTACTGACAGATCGACTTGCCGACGTTATACCGGCATAGCGTCGTCATCGCTGCCGTACTCGTATATCGAGGTCAGCGGGCGGCGCCGTTCGCTGTTCGTCCGTTCGCGGTTCGTCCTTTCGCGGTTCGTCCGTTCGCGGTTCGTCCGGGGCGCCGGGCGGTGCTATTCGCTCGTCCGGGGCGGCGCCGTTGCTACTCGCTCGTCTGGGGCGGTGCCGCGCGGCACTGACCACCAGGAATGTGGTTAGTGCCGGAACACCGCTAACGGTATCGGTACCGTCACTGCACATTGACGGGCTGACACTGTGTCACTGTCGTCACTGCAAACGGGCGGGCTGACACTGTGTTACACTGTCGTCACTGCAAACAGACACACTGACACGGTGTCAGCAAGGCTGAGACGGTGTCAGGGGTGTCACTGCGGATGAGGGGACACTTGTGTCCTCGAAGGACGCATTATTGAGCCTGAAACATCATCTAGTCTTCATAGTTTTATTTCTTCTCCCGATTTACCATTTCAATGCCTGATTTTTTTTCACATTGGTAGGAGCAGTTTTCTGCCCTACCTTCGTACCCTGATTCTGGCAGTAATGACGGTTTGATTATCTACCCTTTGCAATTATAAAGATATTCCAATATCATGTGTGTAGAGCCATGCATCACTTTTGATTGTGGTCTACGAAGTTTTCTCCCATCGATTTCCATTGTAGTCAAAATGCTGAATAGTCTCACCCTTAAATAGAGAACAAAGGAAGCACTTACGAAGAAAACGGCTAATGCTCCCGTAATGGGCTCCCGGAGCCGTGTTTCTCCCTCCCGTTCGCGGCTCGCACGTCGAAGGATCATTGACGGTGTTCAATCACGTGCCAACCGCTGAATCGGCGACTTCCCGATGACGGCTCCGACATTTCGCAATTTTAACCGGAGCGCCCGTTTCACTCGATCAGCACTGTGGTCGGGTTTCGCTGCCGTGGTCACAGCCTGGTTTGACCTGGACTGACCTCGGCTGAGGTTATGATCGCCGCAGATCGTTCCGGAAGTGTTCCGGGGTGCTCGCAGGCGACCGCGAATTATCCCGAGAATGTATGTAAGTGTCGTTGAGTGGGATCTCCGGATTTTCAAAGCAATCTTCTCATCGACACTTCTTTCATAACCTTTTTGTGCTGCGCATGTACTTACATAAGGAATTGATCCCGCTCTTTATTGTTATCTTTCCTCCCTTCTTTCCTCTCTCTACCTTCTCTCCCTCCCTCTTGCCTCTCTCTCCCTCTCTCTCTCTCTCTCTCTCTCTCTCTCTCTCTCTCTCTCTCTCTCTCTCTCTCTCTCTCTCTCTCTCTCTCTCTCTCCTTCCCTTCCTCCCATCTTCGTGTCTGGCCACCACAGGCACACCGACCGCATCACATCGTACCGCATGGCTCCGTCACCTCTCGTTTCAGAGAAAGGTGGCGACTTTTGCACTCGTGCGGCCGCGACGGGGAACACCGAGAGTGCATCTTTCCGCGGTCGGGGCGGCCGCCACACTCAGACGAAGGTGAAAGGAGAGGGGTGCCCGTGCTCTCTCCCTCCGTGGCCGGGGAGGTGCTGCGGCTGCATCCTGTCACGGTGTCAGACAGGTGTGCTATGCCCCGCCGGCACG